CTTGAAGTCCAAAGTGTACGACATCATTGGTCCAGCATCTAACTATTCGCCGCTTCCAAATGTCGAGCCAAACCGTGTCGATGTAAGTAGGTTCCTCGTGAGACAGCCGATGTAAATACGCTCGACGGTCCTTGTATTCCGGTTCGGTACGAGCACGTACAAGATCCAAAAATGCATCACAGAATTCCCGGTGTTGCTCCGAGTCCTTCCACTTCGGTGTGCGATCTGTTGATTTTTCTGTGTTGAGGACTCGAGGGAATCTGTGTTGCCGTGCATGAGTCTCGACGACCTTAACAATGTGCCAAAGACACAAAAGTGAAGGGCAGTTCGGGAATACGAGCTCTAAGGAATTCAAAAGTACTTCGTCCCGATCTGAAAAAAATACTTGAGGGTGCACAATGCCGTTTTCTTCCATCATTCGCTTCAGTGTCCGCAGCGACCAAGCAAAATCCGTCCCTTTTTCTCCAACAAGAAGAACTCATCGCCTGATAACTGCTTGAAAAGAGCCTCTATCCTTTAGAGACAACAAAGAGACGAAATGGTGGCTGAATGCCGAGCGTTGTAGATATCTCTAGCAAGGAGATTAGTCCCAGACCCATCCGAACGCAGAGCTGCCAGGGTCTGAACGGCGCGAACTCCTGTCTGCGATTGCACTACGACATGACTGCGAATTTTGTCGCTTAGTTCTGATCGACAATGAACTGGATGAGAGGAAACTTCCTTAGAAGGAGGGTGGTTATGTGTAGTGGAGATGGGGCCGTGAATAATATGCCACGTTGCGACACCCTCGTCGTCGGTTCTTCTGACTATATCAATCTTCATCTTGCATCCGCAACGTCGACTTGCAGCATTGGGTCGGCGACGACTACCAGCGCGAGATATGTTGTGAGTTCGACGTTGTTCGTGACGATCACAGGCAAAGATTACTCTCCTAGTATTTTTGTTAGCGTCTTGGCACGAGCGTTTAACGACGAGGCCGTACCCAACCGATTTTGCTGAAGCATTTGCTGCATTTTGAGCTTCCGCTCGACTTGAAAATGAGGCTTCGGCGTGGACATCAATCTCCCACGTCAAGTTCTCATCTTGAAGTTTGAGTTCGGTGATGTCAACGGGTCCCAATACGTCGGCACGAGTTGTCATCTGGGGTCGTGTACAGCGCTAGGGGGTGGCCAATCCCGGAATGAAAACGCAACGTTCAGCAAAGAAGTTTTGGATTTATTTCGAATGTGCGGACGTTTCGAAACTGATCATATTTTTGCTTGCATTGCCTCGCGACAAGTGTGTTGTACGCTATATATAACACACTACAATTTATCTTTCTAAAGCACATTTTAAAATATAGTATTGCTGTCTTCAATCAGCTAATATTCTGGAAAATGGACCCAGTACTTCTCTACCTGTATCTTTCCCCAGCACGTCGCCAAACGCACAAGTCTTGATAGCGCTTAGTGTACGAGTAGTTATTTCTCTACGACGGTGTATCGATTGACAATTCATTTGGTGTAATACCTTGGCAACGGACTTGACGAAGTTCTCTCTAAACGTTTTGTACCAAAATTACAGTACACTGTACCGTGCGTGGTGTTGATAGTGATTTATTTACATGGTGTTGGTAGCGATTTACGTGGTGTCGATATTAACTTCCGCGCCTCCCACCTGCCGGCGTAATGTTCCATATCGCAACGGTTCCGACTTCCCTACATTTTCCGACCGTTCGGGCTGACACAAATTAAAGCCAGGTGTAGGGAAATCACATTAATACGTTTACACAAAGTACGACGAGTTCAGTCAGCTTAGGCGATTCACAGGCGCCAGGAAATGAGCTGTAGAGGCCAGTAGGCCGAGAAAATCGACTTTTTCTTATCTAGCACTATTATGGGCTTGGAGCAGTGTGCGTTTCAGCCCGCAAATTCATGAATGAAACCCGATGCGCGGGAGGGGGGCCACTAATAGGGGCGGCTATCTTTCAAATAATGACAAACTCAACTCAAAATTGTGACGTATTCTCTACAGCTAACCGTTTTAAAACCTTAGTAATGTTTTTAACTGGCCAATAGGAGAGCGTCACGAATAAACACCCTGCCGACAGGGAACCTAGCATCTCAGCCTTCCCTTTTAATGTCCGAAACCCTCAGATCTCTAGTGGCCTCCGCCCACCCAACTCCGACGACGAAGCTCACAGATTGAGCGCAGGACTTGTCCTGAGGAGCGGGGTCGATATCCGCCGTCGCCAAGCAACTTTGGGTGGAGGCCTAGCGAGCACCGGATACGACAAGGGCAGTGAAAAGCTGGAGGCGTGCGGTGTGCAGTGGGTTTGTGCGCGTGTGGGTGGAGATAGCGATGTGGGAAGAGCGGCGTGCTTGCGGTAAGGAGTGTTGCTATCAGTGTCGGCGGTGGTGGATGTGAGGCTATGAAATATATGTATTAGATGCATGGATCTCTGTGTGTTTTACACGTGGCCTGCTATGGCAAGTATGTCTTGTGTGTCGACAGGAGCGGGGTCTTCAATGCGGCCGATGGCGAGGAGACGCTTGTACGCGGCGATGCGCTCGTCCAAG